TGGGCTCAAGCATGGCAACAGTTGTGAGGTTGTCCCAGGACCAGGCAGTGTTTCCTTCTGTTGTGCATAGGGTCACTATGAGTCGGTATCGACTCGATGGCACCTAACAACAACAGCCAGTGCTCCTAAGACTTGTTGAATATGAATACCACATGCAATACCTTAATTCAGTGAAAATTATTCAGCTAAGGTAGCAAGAAGAGTGCTGAGCTTTCCTGGATCAGTATGCCACTTTCTGCAGTTGTTGATGTGTCTGAAGTCTGGCAAGATGGGCTGTATTTCTGCCCTTTATTTGATAGGTGTGGTACAGTAGGATACATGCTGGACTTCTGACAACAAGGTCTGCCATTCAAACCTACCAGCTGTTCCTTGAAAATCCTATACATGGTTGTTATGAGTCCGAACTGACTTGAAAGCATTTAACAACAACACAACTCTGGAAAGTAGAAGTACATAAGGTGTAGACGAAGGAAAGGAATCAACATGACTTTTGAAATAAATATGTATTTGGCAAATAAATAGAATTTTAAACTTTGTGAGGACTGTTATATAAATTGAACATTTTAACATAACTTTATTTTTGAGTTTATTTTTTATCTACTCTACGGAATGTTTCTATGAAAACATTTAAAAATGCAGTTTTGGGGAAATTTCCTACATATAATTAGTATTCTTTTGTAATGAACCTGAATCATGAACAGTGGTAATAAACCCTGAATCCCTAAACTTTTTATTGAGACCAGCTCTTTCTGTTCTCACTCATTTTTGCTCTGTCTTCTGAACGAATTAATACTGCTTAGAAAGCATTGTCTCTTTGAATTTCATAATCACTAACAATTTCTATGAGAAAATCCTGATTTCAAGGCATGAAATCTGGTAATAGATACATTAGATTTTTGGTGAGATTTCTTGTTAGACTAAGAATAGAAATTTAGGTCCTTAGAAATATCCTAACTGCATGCCAACAAGAATTTTCCTTTAACATTTAATTAAGATCTTAAGTATATAGCCAGGCATACTTATTCTAAATTTAAATTAGTTGACAGTCTTACAGACTGCTAAAAAAATTTATTGAAATGCTCCAATTTAATAATTATTGTTAAGTGCCGTAGCGTCAGTTCAGACTCATAGCAACCTGTATGGGGTTTCCAAGGAGCGGCTGGTGAGCTTGAACCTCCGACCTTGTGGTTCAAACTGACTTTGCAGTCCAACACATTAACCCACAGCACCACATCAAGACTCCAATTTAATAATAAACAGTGCTAAATAATTGGTTGAGCTAAAGTCTTGCTGTATTTGTCCGCTCATCAAATACTACGATTTTCTGAGTGTCAGTTTGCAAGTTGTTTGTTACCTAAAACTTTGTTTCTTCTTTGAAGTACAGTGTTAGAATTAACCAGTCATGTGAATGATTTGAGAATAATAGATTGTTTTATTTGAGGCAACTTTTCAGAAAGGGTTTAATATTGACTGACAACCTTGAATTAAGAATAAAGTTAGTACAAAGTGGGAATCCCTACCGTGGTGCTCTCAATTTGTAAATGATCTTAAAACTTATTAGAGGAGCTAACTTACATGTTCGAATGAAAGCTTTTAAAAGATGAATCAGCATAGCGGGTTTGGTGTGGTGCCATGGGTTAATATGCTGGACTACAAAGTCAGTTTGAACTACAAGGTCAGCAGTTCAGGCTCACCAGCAGTTCTTAGGAAACCCTATACAGGGTCGGTATGGGTCAGAACCGACTTGACGGCACTTAACAACAACAACAACACATATATGTTTCTTTTGCTTAATCTTAAGCATGAATGATCAATTTAGTAAAAATGTAGAGCAAAAGATTACTGATATCACCATTTTAAAGATAGAAATGTTTCTGATTAGTCATAGTCCATAATCCTTTCAGATTTGGTGGACTGACTCACTTCTTTGCTCTCATTAAGTAGATAAAAATGAGACTCACTAAACAGACTGTAAAGAGAAAGGAGAATGGGTGTCAAGGTTGGAATTAAGTTACTTCATGTGTTAAACTATTAATTTGTTGATAAGTGCTGTTGAGTTGGTTCTGACTCGTAGTGACCCTGTATATTGTTGTTGTTGTTAAGTGCCATCGAGTTGGTTTCGACCCATAGCAACCCTTTATAGGGTTTCCGAGGAGCAGCTGGTGAGCTTGAACTGCCGACCTTGCAGTTCAGATGGCTTTGCAGTCTGGCACATTAACCCACAGCGCCACATCAGGTATATATAATCACCAGGTATTCTGTGAGTTTGAAAATTTAACAGCTAATGAGTTGAAAAGTTATGCTAGCATATGGATCGCGATATATACTTTCATAGCTTTTCTCATTATCACATGAATACATATGATAATGAGATATCTTACATAAAAATGATTTCTGACATGTTGTACTTTGTACTAACTTTATTCTTAATTCAAGGTTGTCAGTCAATATTAAACCCTTTCTGAGCTAATAAATTTCCTTAGCATTTTTCTTGAGGTAGGAAAAAAGCTAAAACTTAAAAATTTTTTTATAACATTTTATGTGATTTTTCTTTTTTAACTTTTTGTGAATTGGGTGAAGGTTTAATGAGAAAATCAGTTTTCCATCCAGCAGTTAATACGCATTTTGTTTCATGTCATTGACTACAATCCTCATAATGTAATATCATGTATCCCATTTTTCCTGTGTTTCCTGTTTCCATTCCTCCCTCTCTCCTAACCATTCCAAACTTGGTCCTTAGGCAAATGTTGCCCTTTTGATGTCAAATGGTTGATTATTCTGAGGGGACCATACCTCCCTTATCTTATTGCTCCCCTTATATACTTGTCTTATGTTTGCCTGAAAGTTGAGCCCCAGGAGTGAGTTCAATTCCAGACCTGAAGTCACAGAGGTTCCACTAGTCTCTATCTGACAATAAGCCTGATCTGCTAAGCATTTTTTAAAACACTGTTAACTCATGTTCACTACCAAAACGCATATACATACACAGATACACATACAAGGGAGTTCAAAAAACTGTGAGCATTTTCTATTTTAATTCCATTTTTCCACAAACCTCTTGAAGCATCCTCGTGTGTGTGTGTGTGTGGCCTTTTTTTTTTTTTTATGGCCTTTTAATATATAGTATTATTGGGTTTTTCTCCTTATGACTGCAGGAAGTATATGTGCGTCCTTTCTTACCCAAAGTTATCAATTACCAGTTCTCGATACAATGTTTGTGAGAAAGAAACACCGAGGCAAAGATTTCGGACTTCATATGCTGGAGGACTTTGTGGATTCCTTTACAGAAGAGGCACTTGGCTTGCGGTACCCACTATCCTCTCTCATATATATGGGTAAGTAGACAGAGTTAAAAAAATGTTAAACTCTTATTTCATTGTCATTTCTCACTGATTTCTTAAAGTATTACAGATGTGCATATATTGATATCAAGTGAATTTGAATTTCTTGGACCTCTAAGGCTTAATTTCACAAATGTGTTTTTAAGTCAGATGCATGACTTTTTAGATACATAGTGTTTTTAAAATTGAGATAAAATCCACCCTTTTACAATGTATAATTCAGTTGTTGTTGTCAGGTGCCATCGAGTCGGAACCGACTCATAGCGACCCCATGTACAGCAGAATGAAACAATGTCCGATCCTGGGCCAACCTTACTACTGCTGCCACAGTTGAGTCCATCATAATTCAGTAGATAATAGTATATCCACTATTGCTCAACCATTAGCACCATCTACTTCCAGAATATTTCATCATCCCAAAAAGAACTCATTTGCTTTTGTACCTTACTCCCCTGTTGTTAAATGTCATCGAGTTTGTTCTGACACATAGTTACGCTGTATAGAGTTTCCAAGGAGTGATTGGTGGATTTCAAACACTGATGTATAGGGCAACAGTTCAGTGTTTATCCTGCTATAGGACCATACCTGGACTTCCCTATCCCTTAGCAATCAGTATACCTACTTTCTGTATCTAGATTTGCCTATTCTGGGCTTTTCATGTATGTTGTTGTTAGGTGTCATGGAGTCGGTACCAACTCATAGCAACCCTATGTACAACAGAACGAAACACTGCCCGGTCCTGGGCCAACCTCACATTTTTTGCCACGCTTGAGTCCATTGGTGCTGCCACTTTGCCAGTCCATCTCACTGGGGGTCTTCCTCTTTTTCTCTGACCCTCCACCTTACCAAACTTGACATCCTTCTTCAGAGATTGGTCCCTCCTGACAATATATCCAAATGATGAGTGACGAAATTTGGCCATCCTGGCCTCCAGGGAGCACTCTGGCTGCACTTCTTCCAATATGGATCTGTTGGTTCTTTTGGCAGCCCATGGCACTTTCAGTATTCTCCTCCAACACCATAATTCAAATGCATCAATTCTTCAGTCGTCTTTGCCTGCAATAT